AAGCGCGAAGCGTTAAATATTTAAATTAAATCAAAATGATCTTTTTTATCTATGTTAATAATAGATTAGCCTGTGTCTAATAATAGTTTTTAATGTTAAATGTATATTTATTAATTAAGCGCAAAGCGTTAAATATAACTTTAACTCCTTAATATATTATTATGATTTACTCTCCCACCTTGATTTCCATTCTGGAAGTTTTACTAGTAACTGTACCAGTTTTGCTTACTGTAGCCTTTGTGACAGTGGCTGAAAGAAAAACCATGGCCAGTATGCAAAGAAGATTAGGGCCTAATATTGTAGGATATTATGGTCTTTTACAAGCATTTGCGGATGCTCTTAAATTAATATTAAAAGAGTACGTTTCACCTACCCAAGCAAATATAATATTATTTTTTATTGGCCCTATTATAACTCTTATATTTTCATTATTAGGGTATGCTGTTATACCATATGGCCCTGGATTAGCAGTATGAGATTTTAATTTAGGTATATTATATATGCTAGCAGTTTCTTCACTATCTACCTATGGTATATTACTTGCAGGGTGATCTGCAAATTCCAAATATGCTTTCTTAGGTTCACTTAGAAGTACTGCACAACTTATAAGTTATGAGTTGATATTGAGTTCAGCTATATTACTTGTGATTTTATTAACAGGAAGTTTAAATTTAACTGTTAATATTGAAGCTCAAAGAGCCATCTGATTAATATTTCCATTACTTCCTGTATTCATAATATTTTTCATAGGATCAGTAGCAGAAACTAATAGAGCACCTTTTGATTTAGCTGAAGCAGAATCTGAGCTTGTTAGTGGGTTCATGACAGAACATGCGGCAGTAATATTTGTGTTTTTCTTTTTAGCTGAATATGCAAGTATAGTGCTAATCTGTATATTAAATGCTATACTATTTTTAGGAGGATACTTGTTTAATTATACACAAGTGTTACACATGTTAAATGAAGTGTTGTTTGTTACGGACTTTACATTTGATTCTCCTTTAATAGAAGGGATGTTATCTGGTTTAACTATAGGAATAAAGTCATGTATAATGATTTTTGTTTTTATATGAGTGAGAGCTTCTTTTCCTAGAATACGGTTTGACCAGTTGATGTCTTTTTCTTGAACTATTTTATTACCAGTAGTAATTGCACTTATTGTGTTAGTTCCTTGTGTAATATATAGTTTTGAGATCATACCTAGTAATATAGCTTTATTTTAAGTCTGTGCCTTAGTGGTTTATTTGAAAAAAAAAAAAAAAGTGATCTAAAAAAATACACCGTTATATGTATTTAAACCAATTTCCTTTTTATCTTAACTTTATAAAAAACACTTTTAATATAAAAATTTTAAAGTAGATCGCCATATATTTTAAGTTTTTGTATTAGTAGTGTATTTGGTATAAAAAGATTACTTTTACCAAATAATGAGTGTGTTAAACTGAAAAAAAAAAAAAAAAAAATAATCTAAATCTAACAAAACACATATTTTTATAAATAATATTATCAATTTTAATCAAAATACAATAACATGAGAATTTGAAAAAGTCATTCCTTACTTAATTTAGTTAATGGATATCTAGTGGATTCACCTCAACCTTCTAATTTAAGCTATTTATGAAACTTTGGTTCATTACTTGCATTTTGTCTAATAATACAAATTGTAACCGGTGTTACATTAGCAATGCATTATAATCCTAGTGTATTGGAAGCATTCAATTCAGTTGAGCATATTATGAGAGATGTTAATAATGGGTGATTAATTCGTTATTTACACTCTAACACAGCTTCAGCGTTTTTCTTTTTAGTGTACTTACACATAGGAAGAGGATTATACTATGGTTCATACAAAGCACCAAGAACATTAGTTTGAACAATAGGAACTATAATACTTATTTTAATGATAGCTACAGCATTCTTGGGTTATGTTTTACCATACGGGCAAATGTCTCTGTGAGGCGCTACAGTTATTACTAATCTTATGAGTGCAATACCATGAGTAGGACAAGATATAGTTGAGTTCATATGAGGAGGATTTAGTGTTAATAATGCTACACTAAATAGATTCTTTGCCCTACATTTTGTTTTACCGTTTGTACTAGCTGCACTGGCATTAATGCATTTAATAGCTTTACATGATAGCGCAGGATCTGGGAACCCCTTAGGTATATCAGGTAATTGTGACAGATTACCCTTTGCACCTTACTTTATTTTCAAAGACTTAATAACAATATTCTTGTTTATTATTGTGTTATCAGTATTTGTATTCTTTATGCCTAATGTATTAGGAGACAGCGAAAATTATGTTATGGCTAACCCAATGCAAACTCCTCCTGCTATAGTGCCTGAATGATATTTATTACCATTCTATGCTATATTAAGATCTATACCTAATAAATTATTAGGTGTTATTGCTATGTTCTCTGCTTTACTAATATTACTAGTTATGCCTTTTGCTGATTTAGGTAGAAGTAGAGGTATACAATTCAGACCTTTAAGCAAAATAGCCTTTTATATTTTTATAGCTAACTTTTTAATATTAATGCAACTGGGAGCTAAACATGTAGAATCTCCTTTTATAGAATTTGGTCAAATAAGTACATTACTATACTTTTCACATTTCTTAATTATAGTACCTTTAATAAGTTTATTAGAAAATAGTTTAATACAATTGGACACAAAAAAGGTAGCCCTACAGTAGTAAGTCATTAAAAACAGGTTTATATAACTTACTAGAAAAATTAAAAATATTATTTAAATATATTTGTATGGGTTTTATAATAATTATAGCTTTATTAACTATCCTTATTATAATACACACATGGTTGATTAATCACAGTTATATATATGTTGATTATAATCTTCTTATTTGTCACCTAAATCCAAATCATTACATATACACTATGCAACAGGAACTGAATGGCATGTAAGAAGTGGCCCCCAAAACACAATTAATCTAAGAGATTTTTAGTGATTTACCTGAAAAGTAAAAAAGCCTATGTTTAATTAATTATTAGACTTTTCTACTTACAGTAGAACAAATGGGAATGACTACGTCATATTATAATATACATACGAAAAAAAAAAAAATTATATATTACTTTCTATATATGTGAAAATAACAGAGGAAAATTCATTATTAATTATATATCTATAAATGTTACTTATGTCTTTATTATTAATACCTATACTAGGTATATTCACTATTACTTTGATCCCTAATAACACCAATTCTGCTATAAACATCAGATATAGCAAAGTTGTTGCACTGATAGCATCAATAGTTAATCTTTTTATTTCTTTTATAATATTTATATTATTTAACTTCAGCAGCAATCAATTCCAATTTGTACAAGAATATCATAGAATAAGCAACTTTGATTTTTATTTAGGGGTGGATGGTATTTCTATCTATTTTGTTCTTTTAACTACTATTATAATGCCTATTTCATTATTATCAAATTGAAGTTCTATATCAGAAAATATCAAGTCATATCTTGTCATAATACTATTATTGGAAACATTATTACTAGCAGTATTTCTTGTTCTGGATATATTGTTATTTTATATTTTCTTTGAAAGTATTCTTCCTCCTCTATTTTTACTTATTGGTATATTTGGTTCAAGTAATAGAGTAAGAGCCAGCTTCTACTTGTTTTTATACACATTATTAGGATCTTTATTCCTTTTATTGTCAATATTAACTATGTCTTCCATAATGGGTACTACTGATTTTGATGCTTTGTACAAAACAAACTTCAGTTTTTATACTCAAATATTTTTATTTTGTGGTATTTTTATAGCTTTTGCTGTTAAAACTCCTACTATATTTTTGAATACTTGATTATTGAAAGCTCATGTAGAGTCGCCACTGGGGGGTAGTATAATACTAGCAGGTATAGTATTGAAACTAAGTTTATATGGTATATTAAGACTAATCTTACCACTTATACCTAAGGCATCTCTTTATTTCACTCCCGTAGTATACATGATAGGTGTAATAACAATCATATATGCAAGTTTTAGTACCTTAAGAACAATAGACATTAAAGAACTTATTGCCTACAGTTCTGTGTCGCATGCAGCAGTTTACTTATTAGGTGTATTCAGTAATACTATACAAGGAATCGAAGGTGGAATATTATTAGGTTTAGCACATGGTTTTGTTTCATCAGGATTATTTATATGTGCTGGAGGGGTATTATATGATAGATCTTCTACTAGATTAATTACATTCTATAGAGGAGTGGCCCAAATTATGCCTGTGTTTTCTATATTATTTTTCATACTTTGTTTAGGTAATGCTGGTACACCATTATCTCTTAATTTCATTGGTGAATTCATGAGTTTATATGGTACTTTTGAAAGATTACCCTTATTAGGTATGTTTGCTAGTTCTTCTATTGTTTTTAGTGCAGCATACACTATATATATGTTCAATAGAATAGCCTTTGCAGGACCTTTTTCAAAGTTTTTCAAATTTAATATACCAGACCTAAGTAAACGAGAATTTGTTATATTATTAACATTAGTAGTATTTACTGTTGTATTTGGTGTTTACCCTGCGCCTTTATTAGACGGTTTACATTATTCTGTGTCATCTTTAATATACTACAATACAGTATTATAAGTTTTTATCTTTAGTTCTTATATTAACCTTTTTTTTTTATGAATAAAAAAACGGGTTAGAGCCGGGTTGGTTAGGCGCCTCATTTGGGTTGAGGAATAGTTATGTTCGAATCATAATAACCCGAAAAAAAAAAAATATATTAAATAAGGAAAAAGAAATTACCTTATTTAGCCCATTTAGCATAAAAGCAATGCATCCGTTTTGTAATCGGCAGAAGCAAGTGCGATACTTGCAATGGGCTCAAAGTAAAATTATTTATTATAAAAACAATGCGGATTGGTGTAATAGTGAACACAACAGGCTCATGACCTGTAGATAAAGGTGCAAATCCTTTGTCCGTACAAAATACTTAATTTATAAGGCTATAGCTTAATTGGTAGAGCAAGCTGCTCATGATAGCTCAGATGAGTGTTCGATTCACTCTAGCCTTACTGTTTTATCTTAAAAAAAATATATCTAAGTGTATCTTTATTGTTAATAGTATCATTAATTTTATTATTAGTTTCTAATGCAATAACTGTAAGACGTGATAAGTCCATATTATACTCAAGGATTGGTATGTATATCTTAGTTTTGTCTGCTGTTATAGGTCTAAATGGTCTAGATGTTAGGGCCTTAGAAAAAGGAATTGGTATCTATGGGGGTTTATTTAATGTAACTACTTTTAGTCAAACATTTAGTATTTTTATCTTTTTAATTAGTGCAGTTATTCTTATATTAACCGCCTTCTATCCAAGAAAAGTGTTTATTTCAGAATATCTATCCGTTAAAAAGTTAGTGTCATTTAAGTTTTTGTACAATAAAAATTTAATCTCAAATAAAACTGGAGAACAGTTCCGTATAATAGAGTATCCATTAATAATACTGTTTATAATAACAGGAGCAGTGTTTTTAGTAAGCACTGCTGATTTAGTATCTGTATTTCTTTCAATTGAGTTACAAAGTTATGGTTTGTACATAATTTCAACAATATATAGAGACTCTGAATCAGCAACTGCTAGTGGATTAACTTACTTTTTATTAGGGGGGTTATCCTCTTGTTTTATTTTGTTGGGATCCGCATTACTATATGCAAATACAGGTACAACTAATATGGACAATATATACATTATAGCTAATATTAGTGAACTATACTTTGATCAGATATCCCTATACCAATTATATTATTTAAATTTGGCTTTAATAATATTATCAGTAGGGTTTTTGTTTAAAGTTAGTGC